TGTCCCCAATGGTGTCCCCAATGTCCCCAATGGTGTCCCCAATGTCCCCAATGGTGTCCCCAATGTCCCCAATGGTGTCCCCAATGTCCCCAGTGCTCAATGGCTCGTCACAGGAGCTGTCCCTGTGGGACGTGCAGGTGTCCCCAATGGTGTCCCCAATGTCCCCAATGGTGTCCCCAATGTCCCCAGTGCTCAATGGCTCGTCACAGGAGCTGTCCCTGTGGGACGTGCAGGTGCTGCCCAATTTCAACGCCAGTTACCTGCCCGTGATGCCCGACGGCTCCGTGCTGCTCGTGGACGACGTCTGGTGAGCCTGGGGACACTTGGGGACACTTGGGGACACTTGGGGACACCTTGGGGACAATGTGGGGATGCCTGGGGACAATGTGGGTGCACTTTGGGGTGTCCTGGGGGGACACTTGGGGCACCTTGGGGACAAGGTGGGGACAGCTGGGGGCATCTGGGGACACTTGGGGGCACCTTGGGGACAATGTGGGGACACCTGGGGACAATGTGGGGAGGCCTGGGGACAATGTGGGAGCATGTGGGTGCACTGTGGGGAGTCCTGGGGGGACACTTGGGGCACCTGGGGACAATGGGGGCGCACCTGGGGACACCTGGGGACAATGTGGGGACAGCTGGGGACATTGGGGACACCTTGGGGACACTAGGGGACACCCTGGGAGCGTGTGGATGCACTTTGGGGAGTCCTGGGGGGACCCTTGGGGCACCTGGGGACAATGTGGGGACAGCTGGGGGCACCTTGGGGACACTTGGGGACTCTTGGGTACACCTGGGGGACACTTGGGAACATCTGGGGGACAGCTGGGGGCACCTTGGGGACAGCTGGGGGCATCTGGGGGACACCTGGGGACATGTGGGGGCACTGTGGGGTCAGCTTGGGGACACCTGGGGACACCTGGGGGACAATGTGGGGACATTTGGGGGCATCTTGGGGGGACCTGGGGGCACCTTGGGGACAATGTGGGGACAGCTGGGGGCACCTTGGGGACAGCTGGGGGACAAGGTGGGGACACCTGGGGGCATCTGGGGACACTTGGGGACTCTTGGGTACACCTGGGGGACACTTGGGAACATCTGGGGGACAGCTGGGGACACCTGGTGACAGCATGGGGAGACCTTGGGGACACCTGGGGACATCTCGGGGAAGAGAAGCGAACTTGGGGTCACTGTGGGGACCTTGGGGACACATTGAGAACCCTGGGGACACCATGAGGACCTTGGGGACACGATGAGGACCTTGGGACAATGTGGGGACCTTGGGGACAATGTGGGGACCTTGGGGATGCCATGAGGACCTTGGGGACAACATGAGGACCGTGGGGACAATGTGGGGACCTTGGGGACAGGAGGGGAACTTGGGGACACTGTGGAGACCTTGGGGACAACACTGTGACCTTGGGGACAATGTGGGGACCTTGGGGACACCATGAGGATCTTGGGGACAATGTGGGGACCTTGGGGACGCCATGAGGACCTTGGGGACACCATGAGGACCTTGGGGACAATGTGGGGACCTTGGGGACACCATGAGGACCTTGGGGATGCCATGAGGACCTTGGGGACAATGTGGGGACACCTTGGAGATGGGAGGGGACCTCAGGAGCGGGAGGAAACTTTGGGGACACCGTGGGGACACCGTGGGGACCCTGGGGATGTGGCCCGTCCCCTGAGTGTCCCCGCTGTCCCCTGAGTGTCCCCGCTGTCCCCTCCAGCCACCACTCCGGGGAGGTCCCCGTGGGGGCGTTCTGCCGCGTCCCCGGGTGCCACTCGGGGTGGCTTTGGGGACACTGTGGGGACACCAAGGACACTGTGGGGGCCTTGAGGACGCCATGAGGACCTTGGGGACACTGCTGACCATGGGGACAATGTGGGGACCCTGGGAATGGAAGGAGAACTTGGTGACACCATGAGGACCTTGGGGACAACGTGGGGACCTTGGGGACACCATGAGGACCTTGGGGACACCATGAGGATCTTGGGGACAATGTGGGGACACCTTGGAGATGGGAGGGGACCTCAGGAGCGGGAGGAAACTTTGGGGACACCGTGGGGACACCGTGGGGACCCTGGGGATGTGGCCCGTCCCCTGAGTGTCCCCGCTGTCCCCTCCAGCCACCACTCCGGGGAGGTCCCCGTGGGGGCGTTCTGCCGCGTCCCCGGGTGCCACTCGGGGTGGCCGTGTCCCCTGAGCGCCCTGGAGGAGCAGAACTTCCTGTTCCAGCTGCAGGCGCCCGAGCGGCCGCCCTGTGACACCAAGGAGGTGAGGGGACACCTGGGGACACTTGGGGACAGCAATCGAGGGCCACCAGGCTGGGCCAAGGGGCTTTGCTCCAACTTGGTGGCACCAAAAGCGTCCCCAAGTCGGGGTTGGGGACAGTTCTTGGGAGTATCTGGGGGGTTGGGGACACTTGGGGTGGCCTTGGGGACACTGGGAGGGCCTTGGGGACACCATAGTGGCCTTGGGGACACTTGGGGACAACAATCGAGGGCCACCAGGCTCAGCCAAAAGGACTTGTCCTGCCTGGGTGGCACCAAAAGTGTCCCCAAGTCGGGGCTGGGGACACCTGGGTGGCCTTGGGGACACTTGGGGACAGCCAGCCAGGGCCACTAGGTTGGGGCAAGGGGACTTGTCCCACTTTGGTGGCAGCAAAGGTGTCCCCAAGTCAGGCTGGGGACACTGGGAGGGCCTTGGGGACACCTGGGTGGCCTTGGGGACACTTGGGGACAACAATCGAGGGCCACCAGGCTCAGCCAAAAGGACTTGTCCTGCCTTGGTGGCACCAAAGTGTCCCCAAATCGGGGTTGGGGACAGTTCTTGGGAGTATCTGGGGGGTTGGGGACACCTGGGTGGCCTTGGGGACATCCAGCCTGGGCCAAGGGGCTTTGTTTCGCCTTGGTGGCACCAAAAGTGTCCCCAAGTCAGGGTTGGGGACAATCCCTGTTGGTATTTGGCGGGTTGGGGACACCTGAGGACACTTGGGGACAACAATCAGGGACCACCAACCCCATCCAAGCCGCCCAAGATGCCACCAACCCCCCTTGACCGTGCTGTCCCCAGGCTTGGTGACGATCCCCGTTGTCCCCATCGGCCTTGGGGACGCTGGGGACGCGGAGGCCACCGCGGGTGACAGCGCGGTGACAGCGCGGTGACAGCGATGTCCCCAAGCAGGGCCTGGAGGTGCCGCTGGTGGCCGTGGTCCGGTGGTCGACGCCGAAGCTGCCGTTCACCAACAGCATCGTCACCCACTACCGGTGAGTGTCACCCGCTGTCACCTCGGTGTCACCTCGGTGTCCCCAAGGCCGCCAGAGCCTCCTGTGGTGCCACCACCTTGTTGTCACCTCGTTGTCACCTCGTTGTCACCTCGTTGTCCCCATATCCCTCCATCCTCAGAACGTTCTTTGGCTCTTTTCTGGACTTTCCCACGATGCCACCTCGGTGTCCCCAATGTCCCCATGATGTCCCCAAGCTCTCCAGACCCTCCTGGCTGCCCCTCCATGTGCCACCACCCCCTGTCCCATCAGTGTCCCCTCATTGTCCCCTCATTGTCCCAGTGCCACCACGTCCTTATGGCCCTTTGGGGCTCCTCTGGACTTGTCACATGATGCCACCTCCATGTCCCTGATGTCCCCATGATGTCCCCAAGCCCTCCAGACCCTCCTGGCTGCCCCTCCATGTGCCACCACCCCCTGTCCCCTCATTGTCCCAGTGCCACCACATCCCCAGAGCTCTCTGGGGTTGTCCCCACAATGCCACCTCGGTGTCCCCGATGTCCCCGTGATGTCCCCAAGCCCTCCTGCTCCAACTTGGTGGCACCAAAAGCGTCCCCAAGTCGGGGTTGGGGACAGTTCTTGGGAGTATCTGGGGGGTTGGGAACACTTGGGGTGGCCTTGGGGACACTGGGAGGGCCTTGGGGACACCATAGTGGCCTTGGGGACACTTGGGGACAACAATCGAGGGCCACCAGGCTCAGCCAAAAGGACTTGTCCTGCCTTGGTGGCACCAAAGTGTCCCCAAATTGGGGTTGGGGACAGTTCTTGGGAGTATCTGGGGGGTTGGGGACACCTGGGTGGCCTTGGGGACATCCAGCCTGGGCCAAGGGGCTTTGTTTCGCCTTGGTGGCACCAAAAGTGTCCCCAAGTCAGGGTTGGGGACAATCCCTGTTGGTATTTGGCGGGTTGGGGACACCTGAGGACACTTGGGGTGGCCTTGGGGACACCTGGGGACAACAATCAGGGACCACCAACCCCATCCAAGCCGCCCAAGATGCCACCAACCCCCCTTGACCGTGCTGTCCCCAGGCTTGGTGACGATCCCCGTTGTCCCCATCGGCCTTGGGGACGCTGGGGACGCGGAGGCCACCGCGGGTGACAGCGCGGTGACAGCGCGGTGACAGCGATGTCCCCAAGCAGGGCCTGGAGGTGCCGCTGGTGGCCGTGGTCCGGTGGTCGACGCCGAAGCTGCCGTTCACCAACAGCATCGTCACCCACTACCGGTGAGTGTCACCCGCTGTCACCTCGGTGTCACCTCGGTGTCCCCAAGGCCGCCAGAGCCTCCTGTGGTGCCACCACCTCGTTGTCACCTCCTTGTCACCTCATTGTCCCCATGTCCCTCCATCCTCAGAACATTCTTTGGCTCTTTTCTGGACTTTCCCACGATGCCACCTCGGTGTCCCCAAGGCCGCCAGAGCCTCCTGTGGTGCCACCACCTCGTTGTCACCTCCTTGTCACCTCATTGTCCCCATGTCCCTCCATCCTCAGAACATTCTTTGGCTCTTTTCTGGACTTTCCCACGATGCCACCTCGGTGTCCCCGATGTCCCCGTGATGTCCCCAAGCCCTCCAGACCCTCCTGGCTGCCCCTCCATGTGCCACCACCCCCTGTCCCCTCATTGTCCCAGTGCCACCACGTCCCCAGAGCTCTCTGGGGTTGAAAAAAGTCCCCCAAAAATTCCCGAAAAATTCCCAGAAATTCCTGAAGTCCCCGGAACGTTCTGGAATTGCAGGGAAGTCGCGGGGCTCGCTGGACTCCTTGGTGTGCCTCACCCCCATCAATGCCATAAACCCCAAATTCCCAAATTATCCCCAAAATTCCCTTAAATCCCACAACCCAAAATTCCCAAAAATTCCCCAAAAATCCCCCAAACTTCCTGCAAATCCCAGAACCCAAAACCCCCAAAAACACTCAAAAAAAAAAAGTCAAAATACCCAAAAAAAATGCTCAAAAGATTCCCAAAAAAACCCAAAAAATTCCCAAAAATTCCGCAAAAAATCCCAAAAAATTCCCAAAAATCCCACAAGCCAAAACCCCAAGAACTTCCCAAAACAAATCTCGAAATGTCCCAAAAGATGCTCTAAAAAATTCCCCAAAAAAACAAAAAAAACCCCAAAAATTCCCTAAAAATTCCTTAAAAAATTCCCAAGAATTCCCGGCGTGGCCGGAACGTTCTGGAATTGCAGGGAAGTCGCGGGGCTCGCTGGACTCCGTGGTGTGCCACACGCCGCTGACCAACCTGGGCTACTCCCGCAAGGGCAGCGCCCGCACCTTCCGCGTGGCCTTCCAGGCGCTGCGCGCCGGCCTCTTCGAGGTCAGTGCCACCTGTGCCACCTGTGCCACCCTCGGGGTCACCTGTGCCATCTGTGCCACCCTCGGGGTCACCTCTGTCACCCCAGTGCCACCAGTGCCACCCCTGTCCCCGTTATCCGTTCGTTACCCCGTTCCCAGTATCCCCAGTATCCCCGTTCCAGGCGCTGCGCGCCGGCCTCTTCGAGGTCAGTGCCACCTGTGCCACCCTCGGTGTCACCTCTGTCACCCCAGTGCCACCCTCGGTGTCACCTCTGTCACTCCTGTCCCCGTTATCCCCATCGTTACCCCGTTCCCAGTGTTCCCAGTATCCCCAGTATCCCCGTTCCAGGCGCTGCGCGCTGGCCTCTTCGAGGTCAGTGCCACCCCCGCTGCCACCTGTGCCACCCTCGGTGTCACCTGTGCCACCTCTGTCACCGCGCTGCCACCCCTGTCCCCGTTATCCCCATTGTTACCCCATTCCCAGTGTTCCCAGTATCCCCAGTATCCCCGTTCCAGTCCATTCCTGGTCACCTCTGCCAACCCCAGTGCCACCAGTGCCCTCCCAGTGCCCCAAACCCCATCCCAGTGCCCCGAATCCCCCCCAGCGCTCCCTCCCAGTGGCTCCCAGTCCCTCCCAGTACCCCCCAGTGCCCCAAACCCCATCCCAGTCCCTCCCAGTGCCCTTCCAGTACCTCCAGTGCCCCAAATACCCCCCAAAACCTCATCCCAGTGCCTCCCAGTGCCCCCAAATCCCCTCCCAGTGCCCTGAATCCCCCCCTTGGGAGGGACTGGGAGCAATTGGGAGGGGACTGGGATTGGGTTTGGGGGCACTGGGATGTACTGGGAGGGACTGGGATGTGACAAAGGGACACTGGGGGTGACATAGGGAGGTGCCAGCACTGCCTTGGGTGACACAGGTGACACTGTAGGTGACACAAGGACACTGTAACTGACACAGGTGACACAGAGGTGACACAGAGGTGACACAGGTGACATTGCCGTCCCCAGGTCCGGCAGCGTCATGGAGCGCAGGGCCATCACCCTGGGGTGACACTGGGTGACACAGGGACACTGTAACTGACACAGGGCCACTGAGGTGACAGAGGTGACACAGGTGACATTGCCGTCCCCAGGTCCGGCAGTGTGATGGAGCGCAGGGCCATCACCCTGGGGTGACACTGGGTGACACAGGGACACTGTGGGTCACACAAGGACACTGTGGGTCACACAGGTGACACAGAGGTGACAGTGCTGTCACTGTCCCCAGGTCCGGCAGCGTCATGGAGCGCAGGGCCATCACCCTGGGGTGACACTGGGTGACACAGGGACACTGTGGGTCACACAAGGACACTGTGGGTCACACAGGTGACACAGAGGTGACACTGCTGTCCCCAATGTCACTGTCCCCAGGTCCGGCAGCGTCATGGAGCGCAGGGCCATCACGCCCCCCGTGGGGTCCCCCGTGGGCCGCCCCCTGTACCTGCCCGCGGGTGACAAAGCCGTGCTGGCCCTGGACAAGATCGCCAAGAGGGAGTGCAAGGTGCTCGTGGTGCCACCCGTCAAGTGACAGCGGGGACAGCGGGGGACAGCGAGGGGACAGCGGGGGGACAGCGAGGGGACAGCCTGGGACAGCGGGGGGACAGCGAGGGGACAGCGGGGGGACAGTGAGGGGACAGTGGGGGGACAGCGTGGGACAAGGGGGGACAGGACAGCGTGGGACAACGGGGACAGCGAGGGGACAGTGAGGGGACAGTGGGGGGACAGTGAGGGGACAGCGTGGGACAGCAGGGGGACAGTGGGGGACAGTGTGAGGAAGTGGGGGGACAGCGAGGGGACAACAGGGGACACCACTGGGACAGTGGGGACGGCGCTGGGACCTTGGGGACATCTTGGGGACACCACCGGGACGGCACTGGGGTGGCACGGACCATGCTGGGACACTGGGGACAGTTTGGGGACACCACTGGGACAGTGGGGGTGGTGCCGGGGCACTGGGGACAGCTTGGGGACAGCTTGGGGACATGGCCAGAGTGGCAGGGATGGCTCTGGGACATTGGGGACAGGGGGACAATGGGGACAGGGCCACCCCCGGTGTCCCCAGAGCCTCAGGGCCACTTCCAGGGCCTTGGGGACATTGGGGACAGGGACCAAGGGGACAGGGCCACCCCCAGTGCCACCTTCAGGACCTTGGGGACAATGGGGACGATGGGAGCCACCCCCAGTGTCCCAGGGCCACCCCCAGAGCCTTGGGGACATCGGGGACAATGGGGGGGGGTCGCTGCCGCTGCCACGTGCCATGGAGGGACCTTGGGGACACCTTGGGGACACTTTGGGGACACTTTGGGGACACCTTGGGGACACGGCCTGGAGCCGCGCCGGCGTTCGGGACTTCGGGGACATTTGGGGACATCGGGGAAGTGTCCCCGAGCCAAAGTGGGGGAGGGGCCTGCAGTGCCACCCCCGGGTTGGGGACCTTGGGGACAAGGGTGGCACCTGTGTCCCTGTTATTTATTGCCAATAAAGAGACCTGGATGTCACCTGGTGTCACCTGATGCCACCTGGATGTCCCCAGGGGTGTCCTGGATGTCCCCAAGGGGGGACCTGGATGTCACCTGGTGTCACCTGGAGGGTCTGGATGTCACCAAGGGGACCTGGATGTCACCTGGTGTCACCTGGAGGGTCTGGATGTCACCAAGGGGACCTGGATGTCACCTGGTGCCACCTGGACGTCCCCAAGGAGGTCACACAGCACCAAAGCCACCCTCGGACGTCGTTTATTGTCCCCACGGGGGGGATTTGGGGACACTCTGGGGACAGCGGGAGGCGGCCGGGAGCGGTGCCACCTCCTCTGGGGACACTCTGGGGACGCTTGGGGACATTCCTCACACGGCCACCGGCTCCTGGACGTGGTGGTGGCGCTTGACCACGAAGAGTTTCTGTCCCGAGACGGTGACGAGGAGGGAGTGCTCGCCGAACACCACTGGGGACAATGGGGACAGTGGGGACACTGCCACCCCCGGGGTACCCAGAGCCACCCCAGTGTCCCCAGGGCCACAGCAGGGTCCCCAGGCACAGTGACAGGGAGGGAGTGCTCATCAAACATCACTGGGGACAGCGGGGACAGTGGGGACACTGCCACCCTCGGTGTCCCCAGAGCCACCCCCGGGGTACCCAGAGCCACCCTCGGTGTCCCCAAGGCCACCAGGGACAGTGACAGGGACAGGGAGTGCTCGCCGAACACCACTGGGGACAGCGGGGACAGTGAGGACAGGGCCACCCCCGGGGTCCCCAGAGCCACCCCAGGGTCCCCAAGGCCACCAGGGACAGTGACAGGAGGGAGTGCTCGCTGAACACCAATGGGGACAGCGGGGACAGTGGGGACAGGGCCACCCCCGGGGTCCCCAGAGCCACCCCTGGTGTCCCCAAAGCCACCCCCGGTGTCC